CGTTTCTTGGTTTCTTTTGTTTCATTCCAGGAGAGCAGCAACTTAGTTTAATAATGTGCACATGACTTAAATTATGTCTGTCATATAGGAAGTCAGTTTGTTGAATTAGTGCCAAATGAACTTCCTGAAATAAGTTTACTAGCAGAAAATTAACTGCCTTGGGTATGTATGTAAGTTCATAGTTTTAGGAAGGAGTTGAAACAACATTGTGGTTGCTGTTCAGTTCAGGGTTGAAAAGCTACATAAATTGGTATGCTATGAAAATGTGGAACAGACAGGTTTTTTTTTTTCTTTGTGCCAGTCCTGGTGCTTGAACTCAGGGTCTGGGTGCTGTACCTTAGCGTCTTTTGCTTAAGGCTAGTGCTCTAAAACGTGAGTCACAGCTCAGCTTCTGGCTTTTTTGGCAGTTAGTTGGAGATAGGAATCTTATAGTCTTTCCTGCTCAGTCTGGCTTTGAACTGTGATCCTCAGCTCTCAGCCTCTTAAGTAGTTAGGATTACACATATGAGCCATCAGCTCCCAGCCAGAGATACCTTTTTCTTTTTGGTCAGTTGTAACACTTGAACTCGGGGCCTAGGCACTATCTCTGAACTCTTTTGCTCAAGGTTAGTGCTCTACCACTTTGAGTCATAGCTCCATTCCTGTTTTCTGGTGGTTAGTTGGAGATAAGAGTATGACAGACTTTCCTTCTTGTTCTGGCTTTGAATAATAATCCTCAGATCTCAGCCTCCTGAATAGGTAGAATTACAGGTGTGAGCCACCAACACCTGGCTTAGAAAGATATACCTTTTTAAAAGAAAACCTTTAAATTTGAGATGTGCCATACACATAAAAAATTATAACTTGGTGAAAAGTCACAAAGTGACCACACATTGAGTGGCTTCCTTAACTGATTTTTTTTTTGCGGGGTTGGTTTTTTTTATCTCTGATGGTGCTTTATCACTTGAACCATGCCTCACATCCAGCTTTTTAACTGGTTAATTGGAGATAGGAGTCTTGTCCACAATTCTCAGATCTCAGCCTCCTGAGTAGCTCAGATTGTTGGTGTGAACCACCTATGTTTAGCCTTAACTGTTGAGGTGTAATACATGGAAGAGTGAGAGAGGTTTGAAGTCATCTTATCTCATTGTGTTAGATATCTTCTAGGGCCTACTGCCCAGCATGATTAGTGCTAGCAGCTTGTGACTTTTGGGCACTTGAAATGTGGCTATTGTAACTAAGGAACTGAATTTTTTTTCTGCTAGTGATATTTATCTATTTTATTTTTTTTTAAATTAAATTGATGTACAGAGGGGTTACCATTTCAAGTCACATAATTACATTTCTTCTTGGATACTGTCATGCTGTCCTTCAGTCTCTCCCAGTTTATTTTATTTATTTATTTATCTTGTTGATCATGGGGCTTGAACTCTGGGCTTGGGCTCTGTCCCTCAGCTCTTCAGCTCAAGGTGAGCGCTCTACTGCTTGAGCCATAGAGCCACATTCCAGCTGTTTTGAATAGTTTATTGGAGATAAGAGTCTTCAGGAGTTTCTTGCCTGGCTCCCTTTGAACGCAATCCTCAGATCTCAGCCTTCTGAGTAGCTAGGATTACAGGCTTGAGCCATCAGTGCCTGGTGTGTACTACATTTCTTTATCTACTCATCTACTGTAGGGCATCTGAGCATCTGACTATTGCAAATAGTAAATAGTGCAGTAATGAACATAGATATCTTGACTTGTAATGTATTAGTTAGATGTCTAAAAGTGGTATGGCTGGGTGGTAGGGTGGTTCTATGTTTCTGTGTTGTTTTTTGTTTGGTAATGGGGCTTGAACTCAGTCTCTGTACTGTGCCTAAGCTTTTTTGCTCCAGGTTAGCATTCTTCCACTTGTGAGCCACAGCACCATTTCTGGTTTTCTGGTCGTTTATTGGAGATGGGAGTCTCATGGACTTTCCTGCTTGGGCTGGCTTTGAGCTGCAATCTTCAGATCTCAGCTTCCTGAGTAGCTAGAATTACAGGTGCATGCCTGGTGCCTGGCTGTTCTATGTTTAGTTTTTTGAGGAATCTCCACAAACTGTCATCCAGAGTGGCTATACTAATTTACTTTCCTACCAACGGTGCAATAGGAAGAACTGTGTTTTTAATGTTGATTTTAAATGTTACTTTAAGTATTTAAAAAACCACTATATATGTTTGAAACAAGTTAAGCATATGAATCTATTTGTTTTTTCCTGTGGTGATACTGGGGTTGAAATCAGGGTCTTGAGTACATATGGCTTGTTTGCTTGCTCAGATGGCATTCTATTACTTGAGCCACACCTCCAGTCCTGTTTTTTTGTGCTGGTGTTGGAGTTTGAACTCGGGTCCTTTAGCTTTTTTGCCTGAAAGCTAGCAGTGCTTTATTCACATGAGCCACAACTCTTACTATTTTTTTTGGGGGGTGGTCATGAGGCTTGAACCTGGGGGAAGGGATGCTCTCACTGAACTCTTTATTGCTCAAGGCTAATGCTGTACTACTTTGAGCCACTGCACTACTTGTGTTTTTCTGGTCGTTAATTAGAGATAAGCATCCCATGGACTTTCCTGTCTGGGCTGGATTTGAACTGCGATCCTCAGATCCCAGCCTCCTGAGTAGCTAGGATTACAGGTGTCAACCAGTGCCCAGCCTAATTCTATTTGTTGTAGTTAAGATCTCATGGAGGGCTGGGAATAGTGGTACAGTGCTTGTCTACCATGTATAAAGCCCTGGGTTTAGTTCCTCAGTACGTCATAAACAGAAAAACTGGAAGCGGCGCTGTGGCTCAAGTGGTAGAGCACAGAGAGACTCAAGGACAGTGCCCAGGCCTGAGTTCAAGCTTCAGTGCCAGCAAAACAAAAAAAAAAACCCAAACATGTATGTAGTCATATTTTATTAATCATCACATATCAAATAAGCATTGTGTGAAGCACCATTTATGAGAAGACAGTGAGAAATAAAAGGTGGTATTGATGTCTTAAATTGAGGAACTGTAAGTTCTGGAAAGAGACATAGACAAATGAAACACTCAGAAGCAGAACTGGTTTTAGTAATATGTATCATCGTTGAAGATACTGATTTTTGGAATGTGAGGAAGGTAGTAAATCTTAACTGGAAAAGCCTGCAAAGAAAGTTTTCAAATGTTAGGGGGGGGTGTGTGTGATGTGTGTGTGTGTCTGTCTGTGTGTGTGTGTGTGTCTGTGTGTGTGTGTCTGTGTGTGTGTGTGTCTGTGTGTGTGTGTGTCTGTGTGTGTGTCTGTGTGTGTGTCTGTGTGTGTGTCTGTGTCTGTGTGTGTGTGTCTGTGTCTGTGTGTGTGTGTGTGTGTGTCTGTGTCTGTGTGTGTGTCTGTGTGTGTGTCTGTGTCTGTGTGTGTGTCTGTGTCTGTGTGTGTGTGTGTGTCTGTGTGTGTGTCTGTGTCTGTGTGTGTGTCTGTGTCTGTGTGTGTGTCTGTGTGTGTGTCTGTGTGTGTGTCTGTGTCTGTGTGTGGCCAAAAGCCTGCAAAGAAAGTTTTCAAATGTTAGATAAATGTGTGTGTGTGTCGTGGGGCCAAAAGCCTGCAAAGAAAGTTTTCAAATGTTAGATAAATTTTTGTGTGTGTGTGTGTGTGTCGTGGGGCCTGAACTCTGGGCCTGGGCACTGTCCCTCTGCTCTTCAGCTCAAGGCTAGCATTCTACCACTAGAGCCTCAGCCCCACTTCTGGCTTTTTCTGCTTATGTGGTGCTGAGGAATCCGAACCCAGGCCTCATTGCATGCAAGGCAAGCACTCTACCACTGAGCCACCTTCCCAGTCCCCATCAAATGTTATATTTTAAACCAAGCTTTAAGGATTTGTGAAAGAAGAATTATCTCTAGCAGATAGCTTTTTGAACAAAGAAGTTAGGAAAAGTTAACAAGTGAAAGTGCTACAGAGGAGTGTTTCTGTTTTTGTTTTTTTCTTTTTTAGATAATGCCTGTCTTTATAAAATACTTGTTGATAATGTAATTTTATGTATGATATGTTTAAGTTTATTTTATTTTCAGGCTTCAAAAGATTCTTCTATCATGGAGGCTGATAAAAAAAGGAAAAGCAGGCTAACGGTCAAAGGAATCAAAAGAAAGAAAGAGGATCTTCAGGAAGTAGATGAAGAAATAATAGCTGTCTTACAAAAGAAAGGTGAGATACTGCTCTTTTTTTTTTAATTGTCACTGTAAAGGTGATGTTCAGAGGGGTTACTAGCTCATAAGTCAGGTAATAAGTACATTTCTTTTTGGACAATGTCTCCTCTTCTGTCGCTGTCTCTGAGTTTTTCCCCCTGGTCTCCTCCCACAAGTTGTATAGTTCATTTTCAACATAGTGTCTACTGAGTATCACTGCTGCATTTATTCACCCTTTGTCTCTTTCTGCGCCCTCCTCACCCTCCCAAATACAGATAAAAGAACAAACGACAAAAAGAAGGAAAAAAAAACCTCGTTTCATTTCAAAAAGTACTATTTTATATGATCAGAAGTGCATAGGCATTGCATGTTTGTGTTCCTCAAAGGAGTACCCTCCTCTAGACTCACTGTGTGTGAATGCCTAGAGTCTTGTATAATTTATTTTGTATTTTACATCTAGCTTCTGCGTATGAGAGAAAACATGTGCCTTTTGTCTCTGATCTTATCTTGTCTTACCTCACTTAATATGATTTGTTCTAGGTCCATCCATTTCCCTGGAAATAACTGTGTAATGGCTGTTGTAAAATTCCATTATGTATAAGTACCACATTTTTTTGGATCCACTCATTTATTTTAAGCTATTTAGGCTGTTTCCATAACTTTGCTATTGTGAATAGTGAGTACACCAGTGAATGTGGATGTGCAAAGTGTCTTTACAGTATCCTGGCTCGCGATGTTCTGGATGTGTGCCTAGGAGTGGATGGTTGGGTCATCTGGAAGATCTGTGTTGAGTTTTTGGAGGAACCTCCAGATGGCTGTCCAGAGTAGTTGTACTAGTTACATTCCACCAACAGTGCAACAAGGTTCCTTCCTCCCCACAGTCCTACCAACATACGTTGCTATTCAAGTTCACAGTGCTAGCCAATCTAACTTGGATGAGGGGGAATCTCAGAGGTTTGATTTGCATTTCCTTTATAGCTAGAAGTACTGGCCATTTCCTCATGTTTCTTTGCCTTCTTTTTTTTGGGGGGGGGCAGTCCTGGGCTTCTTTCGCTCAAGGCTAGCACTCTACCATTTGAGCCACAGTGCCATTTCCAGCTTTTTCTGTGTGTGTGGTACTGAGGAATTAAACCCAGGGCTTGCATGCAAGGTAAGCCACTAAGCCACCTTCCCAGCTGTTCTTTGCCATTCTTACCGCTTTTTTTAATATAGCAATTTTTTTTTTTTGGTCCAGTCGTGGGGCCTGAACTCTGGGCCTGGGCGCTGTCCCTCAGCTCTTCAGCTCAAGGCTAGTGCTCTACCACTTGAGCCACAGTGCCACTTCCGGCTTTTTTCTTTCTGCTTATGTGGTGCTGAGGAATCAAACCCAGGGCCTCAGGCATGCAAGGCAAGCACTCTACCACTGAGCCACCTTCCCACCTTAGCAATTTTTTTTTTATTGTGATTAAGTGATTACATAAATTTCACAAATTTCACAGTATTGTGAGATAGTAATACTTAAAGTTACAAACACATTCTAACCTTTATGGGGCAAATTGTCTTTATTGGGGTCTATAAAATTTATGAATTCTATGAGCTTTGACAGTACAGTTATTTCTTCCACATCGGGTGATCTGTACATTTCTTTCCTTTTGCTTAGTGTCAGCTGTTCTCTCTTTCCCGCTCATTCCCTCCCTCCCATTGCTGCCATTGAGTTGCTTAGTTCATTTTGATCAATGACCAGTGCAGCTGATGGGTCCTGTTGTTGTATGTTTTCCCCTATTTCCCTCTGTTTCTGTGTCCTCCTCCTAGTTTCCCTCAGATGAGCACATACATACCATATATGTGATCAGCATCATGGGGTCATTTAGTAATGATACCACCAGATGAGTGGAGGTCCTTTATTTCTTGAGTCTTGTTTATTTTGTCATATCTCCTTATGTTTTGGATTTAATATCCAAATTTAATATCAGTGAGACCATGTGCCATTTGTCTCTTTGCTCTTGGCTTACTTCACTCAACGTGATTTTTTCTCGTTCCATTCATTTCCCTGTAAATGCCATTATTTTGTCCTTTCTAATGGCTGCAAACTGTTCCATTGTATATAGGTACCACAATTTTTGGATCCATTCATCTGTCGTGGGGCATCTGGGTTGTTTCCATATCCTAGCTATTGTGAACAGTGCTTTAATGAACATGGAGGTGCACGTGTCCTTGTCTCTTGGTTCCTGTTGCTCAGGGTAGATGCCTAGGAGTGGCATACCTCTTCTTTTGAGAAGTCTTTTTTTCAGTTCCTTTGCCCATTTGAGATACTCGTGGGTAGCAGAGATTGTGCTTGCTTTAGAGTGGTTCTGCTCAGGTCCTTCAGTGTGCAAAAATATGTACTGGAAATACTTTAATATCTAAGGGACTTTTAATTGTGAGCTTATACTGTATTGCTAATGTTTTTATCTCTCTCTCTTTCTACCAGCTAAAGTCAGGGGACTGGAACTACAGAGCTCCAATGTGAAGTTTGAAGATGTTGGAGGCAACGATTCAACATTAAAAGTTAGTTCATTGAAGTGGCACTGTGGTTCAAGTGGTAGAGCGCTCGCCTTGAGCTGAAGAGCTGAAGGACAGCGCCCAGGCCCAGAATTCAAGCCCCATGAACGAAGGGGAAAAAAAAAAGTTCATATTCATGCTTTAATGGACATATTGCTAATCACCTATATAGACAAAGCTTAGCTGTTTGTTTCTTACACTAATTGGATATAGAAAGAGACTGAGAAAATCTGACCTATTTGTGGTATTGAGAGATAAAGTAGTGTATTTTTCTTACTGTTTTTGTCTTAAGAATTACAGGGTCCATAGGAACATGCTTTATGTTACATTCTACTAATAATAATGTTCACTTTATTTTTAGTGTCTACTCTATTTTAGTTGCTTTTCATCATGATAAAGTAGATATTTTTCATTGTTATAAAGTAGACATTTTAGTTTGGTAAGGAGAAGTACAATTGTTTTGTTTTGTTTTTTTGTCGGTCCTGGGGCTTGAACTCTGGGCTTGGGCGCTATCCCTCAGCTCTTCAGCTCAAGGCGAGTGCTCTACCACGTGAGCCACAAGCCACTTCCAGTTTTCTGAGTGGTTTATTGGAGATAAGAGTCTCAGGGACTTTCCTGCCACTGACACCCAGTGAGAAGTACAATTATTATTGATAAAGCTCTACAGTAAAGAACCAGAGCCAGGCTGGGCTGGTGGCTCACTCCTGTAATCCTAGCTACTAAGGAGGCTGAGATCTGAGGGTCACAGTTCAAAGCCAGCCCAGGCAAGAAAGTCTGTAAGACTCTTTTTTTTTTTTTTTTTAGAGGTCCGGTTGTGGGGTTTTTTTTTTTTTTTTTTTGAGAGGTCCGGTTGTGGGGCCTGAACTCTAGGCCTGGGCGCTGTCCCTCAGCTCTTCAGCTCAATGCTCTACCACTTGAGTCATAGTGCCACTTCCGGACTTTTTTCTTTTTGCTTATGTGGTGCTGAGGAATCAACCCAGGGGCCTCATGCATACAAGGCAAGCGCTCTACTACTGAGCCCCCTTCCCAGCCCCACTGTGAGACTCTTATCTCCAATAAACCACTCAGAAAACTGGAAATGGGGCTGTGGCCCAAGTGGTAGAGAGCTGGCCTTGAGCTGAAGAGTTGAGGGACAGTGCCCAAGCTCAGAGTTCAAGTCCCATGACTGACAAAAATAAGAACCAAAGCCAGGATTCAAACTCAAGTCTAGCTTAAAGCCTATTATCTACTCTTGGTTTGGTGTTCTATTCTTGGTTCTCTCAGAGTGAGGAAACATCTCTTATGCTTATATCCTGCTAGGAAGTCTGCAAGGTACTTACCCATATGTGTCACCCGGAAGTGTACCACCACCTGGGTGTTGTGCCTCCTCGTGGAGTTCTCCTTCATGGGCCACCTGGCTGTGGGAAGACATTACTTGCACATGCCATTGCTGGGGTGAGGCTTTCTGACACTTTTTCTGTTGCGATTGCCTTTGTTTTTGTTTTTTTCTCTTAGGTCAATTTAAACCAAACCTAGAATCTTTTAGGAAGAGAATATAGTCAGTGGGAAATGAAACTCTCTCTTACTATTATTTACACAGGGTCTTTGTAGCTCTGATGGCCCAGACTCACTATGTAGCCCAGAATGGCCTTTAACTTGCTTCTAATCCTTAGCCTTCCAAGTTCAGGATTAGAGGTTTGTACCACCACACTCAGGTTTCTTTTCTTTTTTTTTCTTTCTTTCTTTTTTTGGTCAGTTGTGGAGCTTGAACTCAGGGCCTGGGTGACGTGTCTGAGCTTTTTCCACCCAAGACCAGTGCTCTACCATTTTGAGCCACAGCACCTCTTCTGGTTTTCTGGTGGTTAATTAGAGACAAAGTCTTACAGACATTCCTGGCCCAGTCTGGCTTTGACCCATGATGCTCAAATCTCAGCCTCCTAAACTAGGATTGCAGGTATTTTCCACCAGGCCCCTGGCCCATTCTTTCCTCTTTCACATGTTATTTGTGTGATTTTTTTCCCCCCCAGAGAATACAGTTATTACACATACGACAAGGTTGGGTGGGAAGGAAAATAATATAGCTGTAAACCACCCTTTTTAAACATAGAGATTGTATTTTAGTCTCCTCCCCTCTACCCATAGTTCTTTTATTACTATTTTTTTAAATTTTTGCTGGGCCTGGGACTTGAACTCTGGGCCTGGGCATTGTCCCTACACTCTTTTTTGACCTCCCCTCCCCCCTAGTCCTGGGGCTTGAACTCAGGGCCTGGGTACTGTTCCTGAGCTGCTTTTGCTCAAGGCTAGTGCTCTACCTTTTGAGATGCAGCTCTGCTTGCTTTTGATGGTTAATTTAGAGATGAGAGTCTCATGAGCTTTCCTGCCTGGACTCTCTTCCAGCCCATCACCCTCAGATCTCAGCCTCCAGAATAGTCAGGATTAGAGGTGTGAGTCAGTGGTGCCCAGTGAGATCAATCATTTAAAAGTGTAATTATTTGGGGAAGTTTGGATAAGAAGATGACTGAGAGGTTTAAAATTGAAAATTTGATCATTCTTTTATGTATTTGCACAGGAACTTGACCTCCCAATTTTAAAAGTGGCTGCTCCCGAGATTGTGACAGGAGTTTCTGGAGAATCTGAACAAAAGCTCAGAGACTTATTTGAACAAGCTGTGGTGAGTCAACTAATGGCTAATGTCAGTTTTCACATTTTAAAGCCCTTTATTTAAGATGTTATTTTTTCATGCAAGTGTTTATTACCTCATTCATTGTCTAGTCTTGTAAACTTGGCAATTTTCTATGTATTGTAATAGATATTAAAACACATTAAATGATGCATATTGGATGTAATATATAAGAAATCAAACATAAAAGATAATGAGGAAGTTGTGTTGTGGCTCAAGTGGTACAATTCTAGCCTTGAACACAGAGAGGCTCAGGGACAGTACCCAGGCTTTGAGTTCAAGCCCCAGCCAAAAAAAAAAAAAAAAAGGAAAGATAATGCGAAGTTCAGGCTGTCATACCCAATGGTTATATGTTTAAAAATATAGTACCTCATGATGCTTTATTCATTTTTACGTTCTTTAACTTAGGTTTGTTTAAACAACTTAGCAATATGAAAAATGATGCATTTATTATTATTTGTTTATGAATGCAACCAAGAAAATACCAGGATAAATTCAGTTTGTATAATTGAACCTGAGAAAAAATTCTCAGATCAGTTATAGATTTAATTTTATGCAAATTATAGTTTGTGTTATTAAAATCTGGAAGATGATTCAAGTTAGGATTATAGTTGGCATGGGTGGCTCATTCCTCTAATCCTAGCTATTCAAAGGCTGAGATCTGAGGATCACATTTCAAAGCCAGCACAGGCAAGAAAGTCCATGTGAGAATCTTATCCCCAAATAACCACTAAAAAGTGGAGCTGTGGAGAAATGGAACTGTGGCTCAGTGGTTGAGCTCCTGTCTACCAAGTGCAAAGCCTCGTACTACCAAAAGAAATGCACAAATAAGCTGGCCAGTGTAGTCACTGCCTAATTAGGACAGTGATTCCTAGCTACTTAGGAGGCTGAGCTCTGAGGATCACAGTTCAAAGCCAGCCCGGGCAGCAAAGTCTGTGAGACTAATCTCTAGAAAACCAGAAGTGGCGCTGTGGCTCAAAGTGATAGAGCACTTGCTTAAAGAGGCTGAGGGACAGCGCCCAAGCCCAGAGTTCAAGCCCCACGACCCACCGAAAAAAAAAAAAAGCTTGAGTATTTTTATGTTGGTTAGAAATACTCAACATTTGTGTAAACTTAAATGTTCAAATTTAAGATTTTAAACTTATTACTTATATTCCTAACATATGGAATATATTTAATGTACAATTTAATTTTAAAAGCATGTGAAAACATCAGTGCAAATGTGCTATCCCAACTATACCTTTTTTTTTCTGTCGGTCATGGGGCCTGAACTCTGGGCCCGGGTGCTGTCCCCCAGCCCTTCAGCTCAAGGCAAGCACTCTACCACTCAAACCACAGCGCCACTTCTGGCTTTTTCTGTTTATGCGGTGCTAAGGAATCAAACCCAGGGCCTAATGCATGCAAGGCAAGCACTCTACCACTGAGCCACCTTCCCATCCCCTATTGCTTTTTGTGTATGTGTATGCTGGTCCTGGGTCTTGAACTCAAGGCCTGGTGTTGTCCCTCACCTTTTTTGCTCAAGGCTATCACTTGAGCCACAGCTCCACTTCAGCTTTTTTTGGTGTTTAACTGGAGATAAAAATTCTCATAGAATTTTCTGCCTGGGCTGACTTTGAGCTGCAATCCTCTAGAGTAGTTTGGGTAACAGGCGCCATCTACTGGCACCCAGCTCCTATCTCTAGGTTCTCTTAAGATATAACAGTCAGAAGTAACATAATGTGAACTGCCTTCCTCGTGGTTATATTTTGGTAAATGGCCCTTGAAGTTTAAACTTTTATATATATATATATATATATGTGTGTGTGTGAGTATGTATATATACACATACATATACACACACACACAGACACTTAGCTATGCATTGATACAGAGAATGTGTTTATAGTTGTTACTGTTTTTTTTTTCCTAGTCAAACGCACCCTGTATTGTTTTCTTTGATGAAATTGATGCTATTACCCCCAAAAGAGAAGTTGCTTCAAAAGATATGGAACGCAGAATTGTAGCCCAGCTTCTAACCTGCATGGATGGTTAGTTTAAGATGATAAATTCATTTTAAGGGTGTATTTCTTAAAATAGTGTAAGTTATTATAAATATATAATCTTCAAAAAGTGAATCTCATTTTTTTTTATAGAATTTCACCATTAACTTAGTATTAAGAATGTATCTTGGGGCTTGGAAGGTGGCTCAGTGGTAGAGCGCTTGCCTTGCATGCATGAGGCCCTGGGTTCGATTCCTCAGCACCACATAAGCAGAAAAAAAAAGCCGGATGTGGTGCTGTGGCTCAAGTGGTAGAGTGCTAGCCTTGAGCTGAAGAGCTGAGGGACAGCACCCAGGCCCAGAGTTCAGGCCCCACGACTGGACCCAAAAAAAAAAAAAAAAGAATGTATCTTGGGGCTGGGAATGTGGCTTAGTGGTAGAGTGCTTGCCTAGCAAGCACAAAGCCCTGGGTTCGATTCTTCAGCACCACATAAGAGGAAAGGCTGTAAATGGTGCTGTGGCTCAAGTGGTAGAGTGCTAGCCTTAGGCAAAAAGAAGCTCAGGCACAGTGCTTTAGGCCCTGAGTTCAAGCCCCAGCACTGGCAAAAATAAAAAAAAGTATCTTGTCATTATCTTTAATTACATGTATATTAATGTTTTGTTTTTTATAGTTCTGGGATTTTACCCTTAGGGATATATCTTAGAATACAGTACATTACATTTACTTCTTTTTAACTGATACCTGATAGTCTTTAACATAGATTTAGTGTATTGACCTTAGGTGTTCTCACATTGATCAATATTGAAGTTTTCAAGTTTTTGTTTTGCATGTGTTCCAAGGAGTATCCTTAAAATTTTGGTTTAAATGTGTTTTTCTATAATTACTAGAAGTTGAATTATTAGAGAATACTCATTTTAAATTTTCATTGGAAATAGCTAATTGCCTTCTATGATGTTGAAGTTTACATTTCTGCCAACATGAGTGTCCATTTTCCAGATACTTGCATATACTCAAAAGTTATTGATTATTTTAAAAGTTTCCAATCTGTTGACATTTACATTTTTCCCAACATGTGTCTGTTTTCCAGCTAGTGCCAATACTCAAAGTTATCAATTATTTAAAAATTTTCCAATCTGTTATGTGTGTGCCAGTCCTTAGTCTTGAACTCAGGGCCTATGTACTGTCACTGAGCTTTTTCTGGTTAAGACTAGCACTCTGCCACTTGAGCTATAGCTCCACCTTTGACATTTTTGGTGCTTAATTGGAGATGAGTGCCATGGATGTTCCTGCCCAGGCTGGCTTTGAAACTGATCCTCAGATCTCAACTCCTGAGTACCTAGGATTCTAGGTGTGAGCCACTGGCACCTGGCTAGTAACATTTTTTTGGTGTGGGGGGGTGTCCGGTTGTGGGGCCTGAACTCTGGGCCTGGGCGCTGTCCCTCAGCTCTTCAGCTCAAGGCTAGCACTCTACTACTTGAGCCACAGTGCCACTTCTGGCTTTTTTTTTCTGCTTATGTGGTGCTGAGGAATCGAACCCAGGGCCTCATGCATGCAAGGCAAGCGCTCTACCACTGAGCCACCTTCCCAGCCCAGCTAGTAATATTTTTTAAATGTGTTATTTACAAAACTCATGGTAGTTCCAAATATGCAAGGTGATTTTTGTTCCTCCAAATTTATATCAACAGACCATTATGGTGCTCATGCCTTTAATCCTAACTACTCAGGAGGCTGAGATCTGAGAATCACGGTTCGAAGTCAGCCCTGGCAGAAAAGTCCCCGTGAGACGCTTATCTCCAGTTAACCACTCAAAAACCCAAAGTTGCACTGAGGTTCAAATGATAAGAGCTCTAGCCTTAATACAAAGAGCATTGATAGTGGCCAGGCCCTGAGTTAAAGCCCACAGCTGACCTTCCCAAAACAATTTATCGAGTACTTGTACAAAGAGGTTCAGTATCTGAGTTTGGAAAAAAAAAAAGCTGAGTCTGACTGGGAATGCAGCTTAGTGGTACAAGACTTGCCTAGCATGCATGAAGCCCTGGGTTTGATTCCTTAGCACTACATAAACAATAAAAAATGGTGAAGTGGCTCTGTGGCTCAAGTTGTAGAGTGCTAGCCTTGAACAAAAGAAGCTCAGGGACAGTCTGGTTGTGAGTATAATGCTTCTTGATCTCATATCTATCTATTTTCCATTATAAAGAAGTTGTACACAGAGGTTACAATTTCATAAGTTAGGTTTGGTTATGCATCTTAATTAATTTCACCCTTCCCATCATTCTCCCCCATTTTCCAAATTATGTATCTATGTATGTATAAGCTCAGGGTCTTGAGCTCACTAGGCTAGTCCTCCACCAGTTCATCTATCCCCCCAGGAGATCCTCCTTTGCTGTTTTTGTTCTGTAGGTAACTGTTTCCTGCCCTTGTCAGTTCTCAACTACGTCTACATCCTGAGCACCTGAGATTATTTATAGGTGCTAGCCACCACATCTGGTTTGTTTTTTGATCATAGTCCTATTGACTTATTTCTTTGTGTGGTTGGCCTCTTAACTGTGATGCTGCTATTTCTGTTTTCCATATTCTTGGAATTACAGGCATGAAATGCTATATATGAGCTATCTCTGACCTTTTGCTCAAGGCTAGCAGTCTTACCACTTGAGCTGCCACTTGGCTTTATCTGTGATTTAATTGGAGATAAGAGTCTGATGGGCTTTCCTGACTTGGCTGGCTTCAAACTGCAATCTTCAGATCTTAGCCTCCTGAGTAGCTAGGATGACAGATGTGAGCCACTGGTACTCGGCCGTCTCCCCCCTCCCCATCTCTCCATCCCCCCTCCTCCCCTCCCCCCTCCCCTCAGTTGTGGGCATTTTACTCAGGGCCTGGTTGCTGTCCCTGAGCTTTTTCACTGAAGACTGCCACTTTGAGCCACAGTGCCACTTCATGATGCTGTTTTTTAACTAAAACGTGAAATCCTTTTATGACTGCTTGCTAGCTAAAGAATATTCTATATAAAGTCTTTATGATTTATTCAGCATCTTAGTTCATTCTTAATTTCTGTGAGGAGCATAATCTCAGACTCCTACTGTTCAGTTCTGATTCAGTCGAGAGAAATAATACTTAGGAAAAATAACTTTAAGCCCTGTCTTCTGTCCATTCCTAAAAGTCTTACCTTAGATTAAGCTAGAGCAGCTTTGACACTTCTGTACCTCATCTGAGACTTTTTCACTATCTTTCTGAAACAACATTGCTCTTGTCCCCAGACCTTGTTCTTGGACTGCTCACCTTCTCTAGATGTGCTATCTCTGTGTAAAAACCTCTCTAATTTCTGCCTCTGTATTAAAATTATATTTGCCCTTTATACTTTGCTGAAATATTATTGAACTTTCCCTTATTCCTCATTTGAAACCCATAATATTGTTATTGGACAAGTATTTCCTGACCACAGAGCAGTCTGTTAAATACCAGAAGACAATAGTAACAGGTTACCCTAAAGGTAAAATAGTCCCTGGAGCAGGTGTTCTTGGGCTTATATCCCCTTCCAGGTTTGCCCTCTAGAGGCCAGATATGTATGGTTGCTTTCTATGCTTCTTCATATATTACATTCTTACTAGCAATTTTTCTTTCTATTGTAGTAGGGGTACTGTGGTTTGAATCTGTCCTTTCTCTTGCTAGGCAAGCATGCTACTTTTTGAACTATGCCCCTAGCTCATAAGCATTTTAAATCTTCACACAGGGTTGTATGTTTCACTATGAGAATGAAACAAAGGTTATTATTGATTGGGCAGGAGTCTTATGTGCCCACTGTAATTTATGGGATGTTCTCAATTTCCCTTAAAATATAATGGAAGCACAGGTGTGAAGCATCTAAAGTTCAGTCTTGTTCTTCATGCTTTGGAGCTGGTAATTGCCACAGCTGTAGTGTGAGTCAGAACAGCTTAGGTGAGAACAGTTACACTTTGGTTTTTATCCTTGTGCATGTGCCATGTTAGCTTTTCTTGCCTATCACTTTCCTTTGCCTTTATCGTAGTGCTTTTTGTTTATCCTATCTATAATTAAGCTTTATAAAATTTGTCTTACACACTTTTTTCTTAATTATTTCCTTAAATCTCAACAAATTTTGAATTAGTGAAACAAAGGTTAATCCTTTATCTTCACAGTTTTTACATATTAGACATTTAATAAATGTTTGCATTATATAAAAAATGCAACATACATTATATATCAATCTTTCAAAATGCATAATATTTTCTCTGTGACAATTAAATCCTACTAGATCTGAATAATATGGCACCTACAGTTCGTGTTCTAGTCATTGGAGCTACTAACCGGCCAGACTCATTAGACCCTGCTTTGAGACGTGCAGGAAGGTTTGACCGAGAAATATGCCTGGGTATCCCAGATGAAACGTCCAGAGAAAGGTATATTCTATCTGTATCTATCTATCTCTCATTATTAAGTAGTTGTACACAGAGGTTAAAATTTCCTAAGTTAGGTTTGGTTATAAGATCAGTTCATCTTAATTAATTTCACCCCTCCCATCATTCTTCCCTATTTTCTTCCACTCCCATCTCTACCCTTAAGTTACTTAGTTAAGTTTTATTTTCATTTTTCTTTCTTGGGGGCTTTTTTTTTTTTCCCGTCAGTTGTGGGGATTGAACTCTGGGCCTGGATGCTCTCCCTCAGTTCTTTAGCTCAAGGCTAGCTCTCTACCACTTGAGCCGAAGTGCCACTTCCGGTTTTCTGAGTGGTATATTGGAGATAAGAGTCTCACAGACTTTCCTGCCTGGGCTGACTTTGAACTGTGACCCTCAGATCTCAGCCTCCTGAGCCACCAGTACCCAGCCTAGCATAGATCTTATTAAGCAGACATTTACCATAATTCTTTGAGGAAAAAGGTTGGATATGTTATAGCCATTTAGCATTTAGTAGATGAATTATTTTATTTCTATTTGTTGGTTTGTTTGAGAGAGGGTTTTACTAGCCCTGGCTGGCCTTGAACTTAATGTAATCTAGGCTGGCCTCAAATTCAGTCTTCCTGTCTTTGTATCCCAATTGCTGGGATTACAAGTGAGTTATATGCTATTGCACCTGTTGAAAGTTTTGTTTTGGGTTTTCTTGAAATGCTGGGGATAAAACCCAGGGCCTTGAACATGCCAGGGAAGTATTATGCCATTGAATTGTACTTCCAACCCTTTATTTGATCCATTGACAGGGATTCCAAGTAAATATATTGAGGGGTTTGGTTTTACCATCAAACTAGAAATCAGATTTTTTTTTCACTTTTTACAGAATACTTCAAACTTTATGCCGAAAAATGAGACTTCCAGAAACGTTCAGTTTTAGTCACTTAGCCCACTTAACGCCGGGCTTTGTTGGCGCAGATTTGATGGCATTGTGCCGAGAAGCAGCCATGTGTGCAGTCAGCAGGGTCTTGCTGAAGGCACAAGAGCAGCAGAAGAGAGATCTTGAGATCGAAGGCTTGTCGTCTGAAGGAGGCCAGGAGGACAGACAAGTCAGAACAGAGTCTAATTCTGACGCACAGGTGCTTTTAAATGTTCTTTGTGTTCTTTGAAATTCAAGAAACGGTCACTATAGTTGAGATCTAGTCCTTTTCTGAAAAACTTTCACTTCTATTACCGTATTGACAACTAGTTATACTTCTTGGTTAAGTAAACTGCAAGTTTGCAGATACAACCATGTCTTGCCTCTAGCTAAAGTCAGTTCTGAAAAATGGTCATGTGAGAATGAAGAGGGACATTTTTCATTTTAAGATCCTTGTTGGAGATTTTTTTTTCTTTTTAAAGTGCAGGGGTTTGAACTCAAGGTCTTGTGCTTGCCACAAGTTTACCACTTGAGGCACGCGCTCTCCTGGCTCTTTTTGCATTGGTTTTTCATTCCATCTTCAGACTATGATCCTCCTCTTTCTGTTAACTTACATTACAGGTATGCCCACCTTGTTTTTTAGTTATGATTGTACTATTTGTTTTGATTGTCTTTTATTTTATTTTTGCCCGTCTTGGGGCTTGAACTCAGGGCCTGGGCGCTGTCCTGTAGCCTCTTTGTGCTCCAGGTTTGCACTCTACCACTTGAGGCATAGTGCTATTTCTGCTTTTTTGAGTAGTTTATTGGTGGTAAGAGTCTCATAGGGACTTTTTTGCTCAGGCTGGCTTCCATCTGCCATCCTCGGATTTCAGCCTCCTGAGACCTAGGATTATATGCATGAGCCACCAGTGCCCAGCTTCTTTTGGTTGTCTGTTAAAAATGTTTCATTAGCATAACTTAATTGTGTAAAGGGTTTCCATGTGATTTTTACAATGTGCATATAGTATACATTGATCATTAATTTTATCTATATTAGACTTTCTTAGCCACCCTACCGCCTCTTTGTTTTTTTTGGTTGGTTATGGGGCGGTCATGGGGCTTGAACTCTGAGCCTGGGCACTGTCCTTGAGCTCTTCAGCTCAAAGCTAAAGCTAGTACTCTCCCATTTGAATCACTGTGCCACTTCCAGTTTCCTGGTGGTTTATTGGAGATAAGCGTCTCACAGACTTTCTTGCCCAACTGGCTTTGAACCGCAATCCTCATATCTCAGCCTCCTGAGTAGCTAGGATTATTGGCATGAACCACTACTTCCTTGCTTTCCTGGGCTCTTTTGCTTCAGGGTAGTTTGAGCCACAGGTCTACTTCCAGTTTTCCATTGGTTAATTGGAGATAAGCGTCTCACAGAATGTTTCTATTTGGGCTGGCTTTGAACCACCACCCTTAGATCTCAGCCTCCTGAGTAGCTAGCACTACAGCTGTGAGCCTCCAGCGCCTAGCATGTGCTTTCATCTTTATCATCAAAGATAAGTAAGTTGAAAAGATTGTAACTTGCCCAGGGCTATATATAACCTTACCTTTACCGTGCAGGCACTTACTAGGTCCTTTATTTATACATCATTTGGTTTTTCCTTATATATTTTAGAATAACATTTCTGTTAAAAATAATAAACTTGCCAGGTGCCAGCGGCTCATGCCTATAATCATGGCTACTCTGGAGGCTGAGATTCTGAGGATCACAATTTGAAGCCAGCCTGGGAAGGAAGGTCTCCAGTGAAACATGCATGTGTGTGCGCGTGCACACGCGCACACACGCACACACACAACACACACAACACACACACACACGAAGATGAGTCCTGTTTCAGAGAGAAAGAAAATCCTAGTTAGGAGGCTGAGATTTGAGGACACATTTCAAAGCTCAGGGATAGCACCCAAGCCCCATGACTGACTGTAAAAAAATGTAGAATTTACTTATAACATAAGTTATTAGAATAATAATTCTTTTAACTGAGAATGTCCCTTTAATATTATTAAAATGAATGGTAAGATATGAATAGATGGGTATTTCATGATTCTGGACTAGAAAAAAACCCGTTGATTTGTTAACCACAAATACCCTAATTCATCCCAAATTAATTTAGAAGCTTCATTTAATTTTCATCACAATATCAATGATTTCGTTATTATGAGTACACGTAAGCATGAAACTCATTCATTAAGAAGAGTGACTTTGTAAGAAAAGGTCAGAAAATTTTGAAAATAAAAAGCTGGGGAACATACATGAGGCCCATGGATTCTATTCCTCAGCACCACATAAGCAGAAAAAGCTGGAAGTGGTGCTGTGGCTCAAGTGGTAGAGTGCTAGCCTTGAGCTGAAGAGCTGAGGGACAGCGCCCAGGCCCAGAGTTCAGGCCCCACAACCGGCAAAAAAAAAAAGCTGGGGAAGATTGGTTTATAATGTTTAATAGTAAACATTCAACTATAGGATAAAACAAAGAGAAGAGTCAATAATGGCTGGAATTAGACCATGAAACAGAAAATATAGATCTAAAATAAAGTAAAAATTTCATATATATATTTTATATATACATATATACACACACAAATGCATGTGTATATGTGCACATGCATTTGTGTGTGTGTGTAATATATATTGGTACTGGGAATTGAACTCAGGTATTAAAATTTAAAAGTACTTATTTCAACAGATTGACTTAAAAATTTTCCCTCAATTATTCCTTATAAGGATGAGTTGCACAGGCTGCTGGTGTTGCTAAAAGAGCAAGATTTCCTCTCAGAGGACCAGATGCAAGGACTGTGCGTTGAACTGAATGACTTCATTGTTGCTCTAGCCATGGTCCAGCCCTCTGCTAAAAGAGAAGGTTTTGTTACCGTCCCTAACGTGTCATGGGCTGATATTGGTGCCCTGGAAGATATTAGAGAAGAGCTCAGCATGGCAATATTGGTAGGTGTGTCAGCTGCAAAATGTCATTGGGAAATGTGGTTTAAGGGCTAGAAGTGGGTTGGGAAGGTGGCTTTGCCTTGCATCATGAGGCCTGGGTTTGATTCCTCAGCACCACATAAGCAGAAAAGGCTGGAAGTGGCTCAAGTGGTGGAGGTACAGTATTGAAATAATTCATCTTTCTTCCTTTTTTTTTGTGTCTGGTCATGGGGCCTGAACTCTGGGCCTGGGCACTGTCCCTCAGCTCTTCAGCTCAAGGCTAACGCTCTACCACTTCAGCCACAGCGCCACTTCCGGCGTTTTTCTTTTTGCTTATGTGGTGCTGAGGAATCGAACCCAGGGCCTCATGCATGTAAGGCAAGCGCTCTACCACTAAGCCATCTTCCCAGCCCCCTTCATCTTTATTTCTAAAATGTCCTTAGAACTTAAATTCAAGTGTAAGTTCCTTTTGGGCTCCGTTGGTTCACACCTGTAATCCTAGCTACTGATAAGGCTGAGATCTGGGGCTCAAAGCCAGCCTGGCCAGGAAAGTCTATGAGACTCTCCATCTAACCAGAAATGGAAAACCAGAAATGGAGCTCTAGGGTAGAGCACAAAAGCTCAGGGAACAGTGCCTAGGCCCTGACTTCAAGCCCCACTACCAACCAAAAAAGCTTAAGTTCCTCAAGAGCGGAAACTTCTGTTTATCACTCTGTATCTCATCTGGAACAGAAGTAAATGAGGTATTGTTCACCTCGTCAAGCCTTACTGTCAATAGTGAAAATAAGAATGATCATATACTGTGAGATAAATTTTAGTATGCAGTGTCAAGTGGACACCTCTGATGGGTCCCTGATGGTATTTTTTTTCCAGGCACCAGTACGTAACCCAGATCAGTTCAGAGCTCTTGGATTGGTGACTCCAGCTGGAGTCCTCCTGGCAGGTCCGCCTGGCTGTGGGAAAACTTTGTTGGCTAAGGTATAGTACAAGTGTAGCCATGCTCATGTTCAGGTCAATTACAGGCTTATCAATTCTAACACATCTTGTCGGTTGTGGGACTTGAACTCTTGGCTTGGGTGCTGTCCCTGCTCTCTTCATCTCAAGGTGAGTGCTCTACCACTTGAGCCACAACATCACTTCCAGTTTTCTAGTGGTTTATTGCAGATAAGAGTCTCACAGACTTTCCTGCCCGGGCTGGCTTTGAACCATGATCCTCAGATCTCAGCCTCCTGAGTAGCTAGGATTACAGGCATGAGCTACCAGCGCCTGGCTGTGTATTCTGTTTTTTAAATAAGTATTAAATAGCTAAACCATTTGTAGCTAATCTTATTTCTTTTTGGTGTAGTTACTTTTACATTTTTCCCCTTATGTCCTTCTTGATTATTACTTTTTAAAAATATAATTTTATTTAATTTTTTAATATAAATATATAATTTTATTGTTATTATTAAGGTGTTTCACTGAGTGGTTACCATTTTATAAGTCAGGTAATGAGTACAATTCTTTTTGGATAAGGTCATCCCTTCCTTGGCTTTCCTGTCCTTTGCCCACAAGTTGCATAGTTCATTTCCTATGTTGTGTATACTAAATACTAGAACTGCATTTGTTCACCTTTTCTCCTTACATTTTTGCATCCCCTCTTTGCCCCTCCTAAACAGACACATACCAGAAACAAACAAAAAATTCAAAAGCAAAAACACAATAACAACACCACCAAAAATATTTCCTGGTATTAATTTGATAAATAGCAGCTATTTTAAATGTTCAGAGGATTTATGCCTTTGGTTCCTTCCCTTAAAGCTTTACAATTACTTTAAAAACTTTTTTCCATAATGGAAATATAAACAAAAGGATAAAGCATTGTTTATAATCTTCTTTCTACTACTTACTACTGCTTTTTTTTATGGGGGTGGGGGGTCTGGTCGTGGGACCTGAACTCTGGGCCTGGGTGTTGTCCCTCAGCTCTTCAGCTTAAAGCTAGCACTCTACCACTTGAGCCACAGCGCCACTTCCATCTTTTTTCTTTTTGCTTATGTGGTGCTGAGGAATCGAACCCAGGGCCTCATGCATGCAAGGCAAGCACTCTACCACTGAGCCACCTTCCCAGTCCCCCTACTACTGCCTTTGTTTAATTTTTTAGTCCTTCCAGATGATTTTGAGTGTTTAATGCTTCTGGGGCTGGGGTGAGGCAGGAAGTAGAGAAAAGCCTCTTATTTCATGGCAGCCAGGGAAGGAGTTGGAGAGAGAGAGGAAGAGGAAAGAGAGAGGAAGGAAGAGAGAAGAAAGAGAGGAAGGAGCTGAGACAAGATCGATTTTCCCAGGGCATGCTTTCTCCAACTAGACTTCGCCTTCTACTTTCTGCCACCTCTCCATAAATGCTATCCACTTCTGAACTCATGAGCAGATTAATCTGATTGGGTTGCATTCGGCAAGGTCCACCAAAAGCCCATCACCTGCCCACTAAGCCCATAACACAGCCTTTTCGGGGATATTTCATAGCCAAACAATAGCAACAATATGTACATCTGTTTACAACTTCAAGGTTTTTGTTGTTGTTTTGTTTTGTTGTTTGTGGGGTTTGAACTCAGAGCTGTTCCTGAGCTCTTTTGCTCAAGGCTCGTGTTCTGCTTTGAGCCACAGCTCCACTCCTGGAATTTCGGGTGACCAATTGGAACTAATAGTCTTCATAGGTGGTATAGGGAGAGGTGGGGAGAACAGCAGAAGGAATGATCTTGGTCAAGATGCATTTCGCTTATCACCTGTCTTCTGGAATTGAAACCTCCTTATATAACTATTTAGTAAAAAATACTATCAGAACTGCATTATTAGTACTTTAATGTAAATTGTCTTATTTTCATCTTTTTTTGCTATTGATAGGCTGTGGCAAATGAGTCTGGACTAAATTTTATATCTGTCAAGGGTCCGGAATTGCTAAACATGGTAAGTTATTATAATGAAGATATACGGAGGGGTTACAGTTAGCTACTTGCTAATCTGTACCACTTGAAGCATGTCTCTGATCTGGCATTTTGCTGTTTCCTTGGCGTCTACTCGCAGACTTTTTTTTTCTTTCTTTTTTTTTGGTCGGTCATGGGGATTGGGCTTTGTTCCTGTGCTCTTCAGCTCAAGGCAAGCTCTGTATCATTTGAGCCACATTACCACTTCCGGTTTTCTAGTGGTTTATTGGAGATAGGAGTCTCATGGACTTTCCTACCAGGGCTGGCTTTGAATCGTAATCCTCAGATCTCAGCCTTCTGAGTAGCTAGGATCACAGACATGAGCCACAGGTGTGTGGCTTACTCAACAGACTTTTCTACCTGAGTAATTACATACATGAGCCTTAGACATGGCCTACATATTATTGAAAAGTAGATTTACTATCATTTGACCCTAACCTCAGATTGAACTGTTTGTATTTTCTTTTCTTTCTATATGTTCAGTATGTTGGTGAGAGTGAACGTGCCGTCCGACAGGTTTTTCAACGGGCCAAGAACTCAGCACCCTGTGTGATATTCTTTGATGAAGTGGATGCTTTATGTCCCCGTAGATCAGACCGAGAGGTAAGTAGTATAGACTGATAGCTTGGAATTTTCAGATTTTATTTTTACATACTATAAGACTTACAAGTTACAATTCAGATACTTCGTATTAGCGTGTTCCTTAAGAGTACTGAAGAATATTGGAGCTGTGGCAAATGGTAGAGTGCTAGCGTCAAATGGAAAAGCTCAGGGACAAAGGCTAGGTTCTGAGCTCGCTTCAATCCCTGCACATAAATAAACAGGTAAATAATAGAAATGTCAATTACTTTGTTATGTATTGTATATATGTGCATGCGTGTGTGTGTTTTGTGATTGGTTGTGGGGCTTGAACTCTGGGCCTTGGTGCTGTCCCTGAGCTCTTCAGCTCACAGCTAAGTGCTCTACCACTTTGAGCCACATGGGTCCTTCCCATTTTCTGTTGCTTAATTGGAGATAAGAGTCACATGAAGCTGCAGCCTGGCCGTGGCTCACATCTGTAATCCCAGTTACTCAGGAGGCTGAGATCTGAGGATCATGGTTCTAAGCCAGCCCGGGCAGGAAAGTCCATTAAACTCTTTATCTCCAATAAACCGAGTCTCACGGACTTTTCCTCCCTGGACTGGCTTTGATATGATCCTCAGATTTCAGCCTCTTGAATAGCTAGGATCACAGGCGTGAGCCATAGGCACCCAACAATAACTGTATTTTGGAGGTAATGTATGTACATGCTTGTCAAAAAGCTTAAGTATAGAGAGAAAAGAATTTTTTATCCTATTTAGTTCTTTTCCTGGAGTTTGTGTTGTGAGCTGAGGGAATTGCATTTATTTCTTTTTAGACAGGTGCAAGTGTCCGAGTGGTAAATCAGCTGCTTACAGAGATGGATGGTTTAGAATCTCGCCAACAAGTTTTTATTATGGCAGCTACTAATAGACCAGGTAAGAAAGAACAATGTTATAAATAAGCCACCCAAAAAGTTAGAACTTTTGTTATGGTATAATTTACCTTTTATCCTAGTAAAAGAAAGCTAAATTTAGGCTCATTTGATAACCTCTTTGCTTATAGATCAGTAAAGCCTTAGAAAGTTGTTTGTTCTTTTGTTTTTTGTTTTTCTTTTGGTTGGTCCTGAGTCTTGAACTCTGGTCCCGAATGCTGTCCCTGAGCCCTTCAGCTCAAGGTGAGCTTTGTACCACTTGAGCTACAGTGCCAACTCCAGTTTTCTGGTGGTTAATTGGAGATAAGAGTCTCTTGGACTTTCCTGCCTGGGCTGGCTTCGAACCACGATCCTCAGATCTCAGCCTCCTGAGTAGCTAGGATTACAAGCATGAGCTATAGTTTTATTAGAATTTGTGTTTAGTCACTCATCATTGTCAAATTGCTATGAGTCTTTTACATAGTAAAAGTTTTTTAGTGTGTAAATGCTTCTCTGTGCTGATTTGGGCACATCATTAATTCGATTTTCTTTTTCTCTCTCTTTTTTTTTTTTTTTGGTTGGTGGTGGGACTTGGACTCTTCGCCCGGGGCACTGTCCCTCAGCTCTTCAGCTCTACCACTTGAGGCACAGCACCACTTCCAGTTTTCTGAGTGATTTATTGGAGATAAGAGTTTCAAGGGGCTGGGAAGGTGGCTTAGTGGTAGAGCACTTGGCTTGTGTGCATGAGGCCCTGAGTTCCATTCCTCAGTACCACATAAGCAGAAAAAAAAGAAAAAAACTGGAAGTGGTGCTATGGCTCATGTGGTAGCACGCTAGCTTTGAGCTGAAGAGCTGAGGGACAGTGCCCAGCACAAGAGTTCAGGACCCACAACCAGACCCCCCCCCACACACACACAAAAAAAAAAAGTTTCACGGACTTTCCTGCGCAGGCTGGCTTTGAACCACAATCCTCAGATCTCAGCCTCTTGAGTAGCTAGGATTACAAGAGTGAGCCACAAGTGCTTGGCTGTAAATTTCATTTTTATATGGATGTATTTTAGTGAACAGAAGGCTTTTCATTTCAGTAGTTTCCAATTTGCCTTCTTTTTTTGTTTATGTGTGCAGGTCCTAAAGCTTGAACTCAGGGTCTGGGTGCTGTTACTGAGCTTTTTGCTCAAGGTTAGTGCTCTACCATTTGAGCCACCACTCCCATTTCCAGCTTTTTTTGTGTGCTTAGACTTTCTTGCCCAGGCTCGCTTGAATCAGGATCCTCAGATCTCAGCCTCTTAGGTGTGAAACATCAGTAGTTGAATTACCAGCTTTTATTTTTCCTAAAACACTCCTCCTTTTATTTTTTTTGTTAAGTACATTTTATTTATTTAAAATATAATGTCACAGTTGTTAGGAGCGTGTTGTGCTGAGGGGCTGTATTCATCAGTTAAGTCATGAGTACAGTTCTTTTTGGGGGCAGTAGAAACCCTTCTTGTTACCCCAGTTCTACCCTCCCATCCTTGCCCACTAGTTGTACAGGTCATTTTTCCACATAGTGTATACTGAATAGTATGATTGGTTTTATGTACTACATAGACTGTAAAGCTGTTGTAGTTCACTTACTTAAGACTCAATTCTCTTCTTTAGATATCATTGATCCTGCAATTCTGCGCCCAGGCCGCTTGGACAAAACACTCTTTGTGGGTTTGCCATCCCCAGCAGATCGGCTTGCCATTTTAAAAACTATTACAAAAGTGAGTAAATGAAATGACAGTTTTCTATGTATATACATTTTTTGTTTTTATTTTTAATTTTTATTTTTTTTCCAGCCTAAAGCATGAACTCAGGATCTTGGTGCTGTCCCTGAGCCTCTTTGTGCCCAAGGCTAGGTCTCCACTACTTGAGTCACAGTGCCACTTCTGTTTTTTTTCTGAGTAGTTTAATGGAGATAAGAGTCTGGGGTGGTTGGGGGCGGGGGGGCTGGGAAGGTGACTCAGTGGTAGAGTGTTTGCCTTGCCTTGGTTCAATTCCTCAGCACCACATAAGCAGAAAAGGCCAGGAGTGGCGTTGTGGCTCAAGTGGTAGAGCGTTAGACTTGAGCTGAAGAGCTGAGGGATAGCGCCCAGACCCAGAGTTTAGGGCCCATGACCAACAAAACAAAAAACAAAGGAGTCTTACCGGACTTTTTTGTCCAGGCTGGGTTTGAACTGCAATCCTCACAACTGTGAGTTACCAGTGCCTGGCTATGTTCTTGTTTTTAAATAGATAGTTCAGCAGGTCATAATTTAGAATGTTAATTACTTCCTTTCTGTAGCTTTAAGTTTTTGTCAGGTACATGGCTCCCAAAGATGAAAGAAAGTAATCTGTGTTTGATCACTGAACAGACTGTCCCATTTTCATCTTCCATCTGCTTAGAATAAAGGTAAACTACATGAGGGATAGCTGAAGTTAGTCAGCTAATATATTTGAAATAGCACTGTAATTATATTTTTTATGTCTTCTGACCTTTGACTATCATAACATATTTCCTTCATTTGAAATTTCAGTGGTATTAGACAAAATTGTTAGAGTTTAGACCAATGGGTGAATACTTGGTAACCCTCTTTGAAAGTTAAAACTAGAAGAAAAAAGAAAGGGTAATAGAAGATTAACCAAAGTGAAGTAAAGTATAAAAATAGTTATGGTCACAAAATTTATCCCTGATATGATGTGTGCCGTGAAGACGCTAAGAGACACGAAACATGGCCCCAGCCAGGCACTGGTGGCTCACACCTGTAACCTAGCTTCTAAGCTCTGCGTATATCCAATAAATTATCAAACTGGAACAGTGGCTCAGATGCTAGAAAAGCAGCTGTTCAGAGACAGCACCCAAACCCTGAATTCAAGCCCTAGGACTGACACAAGGAAAAACAAAAACATGGCCCTTAGAAAAATGAATTCACTACACAAACAGGAGGAGGAAGAGGAGAGGAGAGAAGACAATGATAATATCATAGCCCCTAACTGTGAAGGGCTTGGTTTAGATGAAAATATGAATGTTACTAAACAACAAACATTCGTTTATTCTTGTGGAGGAGAAATCAGATTTCAACTACTTAAATAACAAGCCAAGTGCTGATGACTCATTCCTGCAATCAGCTAAGATCTTGGATCAAAATTCAGAGCCAGCTGGGCAGGAAAGTCTGAGATTTTTTTATCTCCAGTCAACAACCAAAAAAATCCTTATGCAAAAAGCTAAGAGATAGTGCCCAGGCTGTTCAAGCCCCAGTTCTGTGGGGGGAAATGTAGGTAAGCTTGGGTCTTTTTTTTTTTTTTTTTTAATGGTACTGGGTTTTGAATTCAAGCCTTACACTTGGTATACAAGTTCTCCACCACTGGATCACACCTGCAGCTCATGCTCATGGTTTTTTTTATTTTTTATTTTTTTTTATTTTTTGGGTCCAGTCGTGGGCCTTAACTCTGTCCCTCAGCTCTTCAGCTCAAGGCTAGTGCTCTACCACTTGAGCCACAGCACCACTTCCGGCTTTTTTTTCTTTTTTTCTTTTTGCTTATGTGGTGCTGAGGAATCGAACCCAGGGCCTCATGCATGCAAGGCAAGCACTCTACCTGAGCCACTTTCCCAGCCCTCATGCTCATGTTTTTAAAGCCCCGATGAAAGTATTTTTCATCTCTCATTTAGGATGGCACCAAACCTCCACTGGGTCAAAACGTAAATTTGCAAGCTATTGCTGGTGATCCTCGCTGTGATTGCTATTCGTGAGTATTCATGTCTCAGATCTGTTAACCTTCTGGGGCATAATGTCTAGAAGGAACGGGAATGATACCCATTTTCCTGAAAGCTAGAAAGGTTAAATAAAATGTCTTATATGGCATCTGTCTCGTACTGTACTTGTTCCTTTTCAGAGAAGGCTCTGCCATGAACGCTCTGAAGGAGTTCTAGGAGTAGGTTGTCTAGTCCTGTGTTGCCTGCTCAACCTGCCCTGACCTATTGCTGCTCTTCACAGATTGCTTCTTTCATAATATCTGAACAGATGTGTCCTGGCTGGCTGCCACATTGTCCTGATTCATCTCTGTGACAGAGATTGATCTGTCTTTATGCTTTCATGTTTGTGGTTGTAGGGTTTTTTGATTGATTGTTTCCTGGGTTTTTTGTTTCATCTGTTTTACGTAAATTTATTGGTTAACATTACCAATTTTGGGACACAAGGAGGGAAAGAAACTCAGGTTTAACTCATACATGTCATTGTTTACCCTTGGTGCTCACAGTACCTCGAAAGCAAACCCAAATAATGCGGGACTTTCCACAGCCATGTATTTCACAGCCACATAACTCAAATAAGTCAGTGTTTTCAAGACAGTGTAAATTTACATGTAAGAACATATTCTTAGGCAGTAGTACAAGGTACTCAATTACTCTTGGTTCTGATAGAGAAATTTTGTGTAACCATCTTCACACGGATAATATGGGAGCATGCCTAGTATGTTGGCTTTGGTCTCCATTGCTTTCACATGCAGACATCTAGCTCATTGAGTCTGTGGTGCTCTGCCCCTTGTTGCGTGGGTATGCTCCATGCGTGCTCCTAGAGCAGTGGAGCAGTGACACTCTTGAATGAGAGGCAATGGTTAGCCTCTGGGGCAGGGCCTGTGCAGAGGTCTCCCTTGAAGGAAGAGAACTGATCCATACCACTCTCTGATTAAATGAGCTTTTATTTATTTATTTTAATTAATTAATTTTTTTTAACTCGGGGCCTGGTCACTGGTTCCTAAACTCTTACTTTTTTCTTTTCTTTTTGCCAGTCATGAGGCTTGAACTCAGGGCCTGTGCACTGTCCTTCAGCTCTTCAGCTCAAGGCTAGCTAACACTCTACCACTTGAGCCACAGCACCACTTCCAGTTTTTTCTGCTTAAGTGGTGCTAAGGAATTGAACCCAGGACCTCATGTATGTAAGCAGGTACTCTTTATTTTTGGGGGGGGGTCCGGTTGTGGGGCCTGAACTCTGGACCTGGGCGCTGTCCCTCAGCTCTTCAGCTCAAGGCTAGCGCTCTACCACTTGAGCCTCAGCGCCACTTCTGGCTTTTTTCTTTTTTCTTATGTGGTGCTGAAGAATAGAACCGAGGGCCTCAGGCATGCAAGGCAAGCGCTTTACCACTGAGCCACCTTCCCAGCCCCAAGGCAGGTACTCTTACCACTGAGCCACCTTCCCAGCCTGGTCCCTAAACTCTTGCTCAAGGCTAGCACTCTACCACTTTGAGCCACAGCACCACTTCCTGTTTTCTTCTGGAGAATTGGAGATAAGAGCCTCATGGGACTGGGGATGTTGCTTAGTGGTAGAGTGCTTACCTAGCAAGCATGAAGCCCTGGGTTTGATTCCTTAGTACCACAGAAAAATCCGGAAGTGGTGCTGTGGCTCGAGTGATAGAATGCTAGCCTTGTGCAAAAGAAGCTAAGGGACAGTGCCTAGGCCCTGAGTTCAAGACCCAGGTCTGGCGCAAAAAAAGTCTCATGGCTTTCCTTCCACGGCTGGTTTTGAATTGCAACCCCGATCTCTGTCTCCTGAGTAACTAGGATTACAGGTATGGATCATAGGTGAGTTACTTAATAGCATTTATTTTAGGAACTTTAAAGATTTCCCAGGGATGATAGAGGCAGTTTTGCACCTTTTTTTTTTTTGGTGGTTGTGGGCTTGAACTCAGGTCCTGGGCACTGTCCTTGAACCTCCTGGTGCACAATGCTAGCGCTCTGCCACTGGAGCCACAGCGCCGCTTCTGATAGAGGCAGTTTTGATGGCAGAAACCATTCTGGACCACGGCTTGTGGACTACTAAGTCCTTATACAACAAGGGTCACAGTGGATAAATGTGTGGCTTATCATGCCACTGAGAGACAAACACTACTAAATCTTCAGCCACCTGTATCAGTTATAATAGTGCCCATAATAAATGTTAGATTAAATAATGTGGAAACTCCCATACTTAGCTTATATAAACATTGGTCTAGGTTAATTTAAGCTCTGTCCTTGTTTAGTTTTATGTGATATTGGGATCATATTTCCATGTAATTTAAAAAATAATTTATTTGTATTGTAAAGGTGATGTACAGATTTGTTATAGTTACATAAATAAGGGGATGAGCACAATTCTTGTTGAACATTGTTTTCTCCCTAAAATAATTTTAGTTTCTGGAAATTAGGTTTTTAGTTCTGAAAACCAAACTTAAAGAATTAGAATTTGGGTAAAACTGTAATTTAGTAAAGCCCTAATCAGGACCTCTGTTTTAGTTAGCCAGCCTGACATCATAGGACTGGCCTCGGACTCGGCTCGTTACCGTTTGAATAGTTTTGGTACATGAAGGCTTGTTGTGATGTCTGTACTAGTTTGAATGTGTCTAGTGCATCCAAGACTTTCTGGGCTTTGTTTTTTTTCTGTTTCTGAACTTGGAGTCACAAATGATCTTTCTTTATAATCCTGATTTAGACAATATATAATAAAGAAATGTACTAGTCTGCACTTAAATTAGCGATATTAGTAAAAATATTTTCAAATTTCTTTTTGATGATTGGGTATTTTATATTATGTTAAAACTATTTCAAGTAAAAGCTCAAAACTCTTCTTCTACTTCAGTCAGTTTGTCTCACCTTTACTGATTACTTTCCTTTTTTATCGTTTAATATTATAATAATTAAAAAATGCTATCTGCCTTCTCTCTGGGCTTTTACAGTATCTTAAGAACAAAAGAGCACCTTTTTTTATTGTAGGGGTGCAGACCTCTCTGCGTTGGTACGAGAAGCTGCTCTATGTGCCTTGAGACAGGAAATGGCAAGACAGAAGAGTGGAGATGGAACAGGTAATGTTTCATTCTGGGAACTCAAAAGCACTGTTTCCCTCTAAAATGAATCTTTTCTCACATCTTTTTCTTTTCTTTTTTTGTAATAGTTTTTTTTTTTGATGAAACATTTTGGAGCTTTTTTGAATTATGTAATCTCTGTTGCTGATAATTATGATGGTAGAGTTCCTGCTTATTTAATAAACAGCATTAAATTGTATTGCACACAAATGTTTAGGTAAAGATGATTTGGTGTCTTCATCAAGAGTTTGATCTAAGCCAGATACTGGTGGCTCATGCCTGTAATTCTAGCTACCTGGGAAGCTGAGATCTGAGTATTGTGGTTTGAAGTCAGCCAGAAAAGTTCCTGTGAGACTCTTGTCTCCAACTAACCGCTTAAAAACTGAAAGTAGAGCTGTGGCTCGAAGTGGTGGAGCATTGGCCTTGAGTAAAAGAGGTCAGGAACAGCACCCAGGTCCTGGGTGTAAGCCCTCCAACCAGTAACAAGATCAACTTAGCAGTAGTTTTGGAAGCCCCCATTCTTTTTTTTAAATTGTTATTATAAAGGTGTTACAGTTTCATATTCAGGTTATGAGTACTTTTCTTTTTGTCAGTCATGGGGCTTCAACTCAGGGCCTGGATGCTGTTCCTGATCTCTTTTGCTCTAAGCCAGTGCTCTACCTCTTGAACCACAGCTCCCCTTCTGGCTTTTTGGTGATTATTTGGAGCGTCTCACAATAAGAGTCTGGACAGGCTTTGAACAGCAATCCTGAGATCTCAGCCTCTTGAATGACTAGGATTACAGGTGTGAGCCACCAGTGCCATTTCAACAGTGCCTTTTTCCTTCCTGTTGTTGGGATGTGTGCGGCCCCTCACAGAAGTACCCTTTACTTGCTTGCCTCCTGGTTTATGGGTGTCTGTGTGGGATAGCAGAAACCCCTCCTGACAAGCTGTGCTCTGCTCTCTGAATGACGCCCTCACGGGAGCTTTGGACGTTTGTGTTAGTTTGATGTTTTTGTCAGTCCTGGGGCCTGAACTCGTGGCTCTTCACCTCAAGGCTAGCGCTCTACCACTTGAGCCACAGCACCACTTCCGGCTTTTTCTGCTTATGTGGCACTTAGGAATCAAACCCAGGGCCTCATGCATGCAAGGCAAGCACTCTACCATTGAGCCACCTTCCCAGCCCTTTTTAAACTTTTATTAGTGTTCCCTTTTTCTTTTGGGTTCAATGAATCTCAGAGCTAAATAAGGATTACAATTTCAGCAGCTTATGCTTAACTTTAGATTTGTCAGCATACATACCTACATTTAGAACATCTCCATGCTTCTTGTTGGTAACCTTATGATTCAGTTATCTGAAATTCTTTTATTATAAGCTGTATTCAGTTTCTTTTGGAAGGAAGTGCCATATAAATAGACAAAAATTAGTGTATCTTATAAAAGTGTGTGCTGGTTCGTGCTTGTAGTTCCATGGAGGAAGCAGGCTTGCAAGTTCAAGGCCAGTCTGGGCTGTATAACAAATGAGCTGGCATAGTTGCTTGTTAAAATTTGGTATCAAGGAAGTGGCGCTGTGGCTCAAGTGGTAGAGCGCTCGCCTTGAGCTGAAGAGCTGAGGGACAGCGCCCAGGCCCAGAGTTCAAGCCCCACGACGGACAAAAAAAAAAAAAAAATTGGTATCAAAAGAAAAACAAGGCAAAATCAGAACGCTGCCTATGCTGAATTAGGTAACAGTTCCCTGTATATTTATTGGAGCTGCTATTTATTTTGAGTTTCTTTTTGTATAATACAAAAATAAGACTTCTGACATCCCTCCTTTTGTACAGCTTTCATGTCTAGCTCTCTGGTGCTTAGACAAGTCTTGCCAGAACCAGTAATGCCATACAGCTTCATGTGGTGTATGCTCAGCAGTGTACTTTATTTTTAGTAGAATACACTATCCCAGCATCTGTGTAGGAAGCTTATTATTTAAGTATAGCGTGTCATCCTAAGTTGTCCTATCAACACTACACAAGGCTGGACCCTGACATGTAGCCATTTCACTCAGTACACAATGACTAGCCAAGTGAGCCCCGTGTAACACAGTGCTCTGATACATGTCCTTCAGTTTTTTTATTTGAGGGTTTCGGGATCTGTTACTTAGAATGTAAACTTGAATCCAAGAGCATACATATCCTTTAGCAGTAATGTAGGTACTCACTTGTAGTCTGAATGAGGATTCTCACATTTCTACGCCGATTATTTTGAGGTACATGGTCAAGATGCAACACAGGGTTTGATGCACTGCTTTCACATCTGGGCAGTGATTCTCTGTTCATCTCTTCAGCGTTTCCGAGAGACATGCCGTGTGCTGGCCAGCACTCCTGTCTCCCTGAGTAAGTGGGAGGAGCATCTGGGACAGGGTGGTGAGGCACATGTAAAAATGCCCTTGACTGCCATCACTGGTCACTCATTTTCCCTTGAAGGCCTAGATCTTTTTATTTATTGTTTCTTTTTTTAGTCATTCATGGTATTTGAACTCAGGCCGTGGACACTATCCCTGAGCTTTTTTTGCTCAAGTCTAGCACTTTACCACTTTGAGCCACAGCTCCACTTCTGGTTTTCTGGTAGTTAATTGGAAGTAAGAGTCTCGTGGACTTTCTGGCCTGGGCTGGCATTGAATCTCGATCCTCAAACCTCAGCCTGCTGAGTAGCTAGGATGACAGGCTGTGAACCACTAGAGCCTGGCTTGGGTCTTGAGAGAAGCTACATTGCAACGCACAGGACTGTACTGAGATGTGTATATTTATGCACACATTTGCTTCCCAGGTGAGCTGAAGATTAGCCATATGCACTTTGAAGAAGCTTTCAAGAAAGTGAAACCATCTATCTCAGCAAAGGTAAGAAATTTTCTTCAGTGTCTAGAAAGAGGCTAGAAGTATTATCAGTGGACCAGAAATCATAAATCCTAACACTGTTTTGTGGTTTGTCCCAATTCTCCTTCATGAAAAAAAATTATGCTACTTTGTATTCTTGAAATAAATACTCAATGTTTTCAAATGTTTAGATTACAGTTCTTTCAACTTCTATTTGTGTAGAGAGAACAGTGGCCATTTGTGTCTATTGCTTTAGTTTCTGATATTTTTTCATCTCTAGTACTGGAGTTTTAAATCCAATGCCTGGCCCTCTGGCTCTTTATTTTGTATGTATTTACATGTGTGTTATTTCTTTATTTACACAGTACTGGAGGTTGAACTTAGGGCCTTGGGTTTGCTAAGGTTGGTGCTGCGCCTCTTGGGAAAAAAACCTCTTAGTTATTTTTCAAATAGTTTTTCACACGTATAACAGGGCTGACCTGGACTGTGGTTTTCTGTGTACGCTTCATGCATAGCTGGGGTGACCATGATGATGAAATGTATCAGCCGCTGCACTTTCTTTATTTTTGAGACTTTGCTAACTTTGCTAGTGCTAGCTTATAACACTTGATCCTCTAGCCGCTGCTGGTATTACAGTCATGCAGCCTACTATACTCTGCCCAATCTCGGAATTCCTTTTTTTTTTTTTTTTTTGTCGGTCATGGGGCCTGAACTCTGGGCCTGGGCCTGGGCACTGTCCCTCAGCTCTTAAATGCAAGGCTAGCATTCTACCACTTGAATCATAGCACCACTTCCGGCTTTTTCTGCTTATGTGGTACTGAGGAATCAAACCCAGGGCCTCAAGGCAAGCACTCTACCACTGAGTCACCTTAAACCCCTCCAATCTTGGAATTCTTGTCATTCAAATAGTATTTGATATAACCCTTTCTGACAGATGATCTATTTTTTTTTTAATTCTTTTTGTCGGTCATGGGGCTTGAACCCTTGGCCTACCTGCAGCATTTCTGCTTATGTGGTGCTGAGGAATCGAACTCAGAGCCTCATGCATGCAATGCAAGCACTCTACCACTGAGCCACCTTCCCAGCCTCTAATCTATGTTTTAATTTTAAATTTTTATTGCCATTATAAAAGTAGTATACACAGAGTGATTACAGTTACATAAGTTAAGAGAACATTTCTTTTTGGATAGTGTTTATCTTTTCCTCCCTCTCTCCGAGTTTTTCCTTCCCATCCCCACCCGTAAGTTCTATAGTTCATTTTCTACATGGTGTATTGGGTACCACAGCTGCATTTGTTCACCTTTCCCCCCTCTGTTTCTGTGCCCTCTCTCATCCTCCCAAAGACAGGTAATTGAACAAACAAGAAGAAGGGAAAACAAAAATAGTGACAAGAAAAACCTCCTTTTCCTTTCCTGAGTTCATTTTGATAAATATTATTTTAGATGATCAGAGGCACATGTCTATGCATTGTGCCTTTGTTGTTCCAGTCCTGTGAGTACCCTCCTTTGATCTCACTGTGTGTGATTGCCTAGAGACCTGTATAATTTATCATGTCCCAGTGGATCAAAAGAGAAAACATGTTCTCTTTGTCTCTGACAACATGATTTGTCATAGGTCCATCCGTTTCCCTGCAAATGACATACTATTCTTTCTAATGGCCATGTTAAATTCCATTGTTTATAGGTATGATCTGTGTTTTCTTTCTTTTTTTTGGGGGGGGGGGTCTGGTCGTGTGTCCTGAACTCTGGGCCTGGGCGCTGTCCCTTAGCTCTTCAGCTCAAGGCGAGCACTCTACCACTTGAGCCACAGTGCCACTTCTGGTTTTCTGGTGGTTAATTGGAGATCAGAATCTCTTGGATTTGTTTGCATGGGCTGGCTTTGAACTTGATCCTCAGACCTCAGTTTCTTGAGTAGCTGGGGTTTCAGGCGTGAGCCACCGGTACCTGGCTCCAGAATGGTTTTATTTATTTATTTATTTATTTATTTTTTGGGGTCCAGTCGTGGGGCCTGAACTCTGGGCCTGGGCGCTGTCCTTCAGCTCTTCAGCTCAAGCTAGCGCTCTACCACTTGTGCTCCAGTGCCACTTCCGGCTTTTTTCTTTTTTCTTATGTGGTGCTGAGGAATTTCTTACTCAGGGCCCCATGCATGCAGGACAAGCGCTCTACCACTGATCTACCTTCCCAGCCCCTCCAGAATGGTTTTATAGACACCTGGTTGGATCTGATGAGAAACCCTTGAAAAAGGAACCTAGTGTACTTTGGTATATGGTATGAGGTGTAAGGGGTTTTAGTTTATTTTTTCCATGTTCCTATTCTTTTCTTTGGTTTTTTCCTCTCTTGGTTGGCATTCTACTACTTGAGCAGCCCCGACTCTAGTCCAGATTTTTTACTAGTCAATTTGAGGTAGTTTTGTGGACTTTTCTGCCAAGGGTAGCTTCAAACTACCATCCTGACATTTCAGCCGCTTGAGTAGCTAAGATTACAGGCATGGACCACCAGCACCCAGCAGTTTTTTTTTTTATTATTATTTTATTAAGGACACAATTTATATGACTTTGTTTTAACTTAATATTTTCCTTAAAGACCCTATCTTACAACCACATTCTGAGCTCGTAAGGGGTTATAATATATATACTTGGGTATACCATTCAGCCTGTAATCAATTGTTAACACCTCTACATGTGTCTTTTCCCTTCCTCTTAGGATCAAATGATGTACAAGACTCTTCAGCAGTCCCTAAGCCGGTGACATTTCCAGAAGCAGAAGTCCAGAGCGCGGAGGAGGCAGCAATGGCACACTCTCTGCAGCCCAACACAGATGGGGTCTGTTCATTTTATCTTAACAGAGCCAAGCCGGAGCTGAAGATTTCCTTACTGACCAGCATTGTGGCAACACTGTCCCAAGTCCTCATTAAAGGGGAAGAAAAGGAACTGCTTAAATTTAGCTATTTTCAAATAAAGTTGTCATTTGAACAATTGTACCATGCATAAAAAAAAGTTAGAAAGAACTTTGTGCCTAATTTTCTGAAGTTGTCACATGATGTATCAGGCCCTGACCAAGTTTCTGGAACTATCTCATAATATCCTTGACAACCAAAAGATCAGGTCAGAATTAGTCATTCCCATGAATTTTAGTCTCCCTTTAATCTGGAAGAGTTTCTCTGACTTTTGAGTCTTTCAAAGGCCTCAGGCTAATTAGGTGTATTTCTCTGGTATTGTCATTAGGATCAACTCTAACTCCCATCCTGGGTCTTGAACTCAGATCAGAGCCTTTTGTTCTTGTTCAGCTTTACCCTCACTCTACCCATTCCTCTTTAGCTTTCTGATAGAGGTAAGAGTGTTACATATTTGCCTCTCTGGGCTGGCTTTGAACCTTTTTTTTGGGGGGGGGGGTCCAGTCATGGGGCCTGAACTCTGTCCCACAGCTCTTCAGCTCAAGGCTAGCGCTCTACCACTTGAGCCACAGCACCACTTGCGGCCTTTTTGTTTATGTGGGCCTCATGCATACAAGGCAAGCCCTCTACCACTGAGCCACCTTTCCAGCCCTGGCTTTGAACCTTGATTCTCACATCTCTATATACTGAGTTGCTAGGATTTTAGGCATGAGCTATGAACATTTAGGTGCAGCATGGGACTTGAACTCAGAGCCTGGGTGCTGTCCCTGTGCTCGTTTGCTTCTTGAGCTCTTTTGCTCAAGGGCTGGCCCTCTACCACTGTGAACCACAGCACCACTTCCGGTTTTCTGGTACTTAATTGGAGATGAGTCCCACAGACTTTCCAGCCCAGGCTGGCTTTCAACTGGAATTGTCAGATCTCAGCCTCCTGTGTAGGATTACAGCCTTGAACCACCAGCTGCCCAACTGTTTCTATTATTTTAATAACAATGGGACAAGATTGGATGACCTTTTTTTTTATTTTTAGAATGGAGTTGTACAAGATTCATATATGATTCATATGTCATGAACTTTTTGATCATATCAGAGGCACATCCAAGCACAGGATCATACTTGGTTTTTTTGTTGGTTGTGGTGCTTGATCTCGGGTCCTAACCTCTGTCCTTGAGCGATTTTGCCCAAGGCCCAGCCCCACTTCGGCTTTTCTGGTCTGATGGGATTTTTCCTGCTCAGGCTGGCTGTGAACCTCGATCCTCAGAGCTCAGACTCCTGAGTAGCTAGGATGACAGTCCCAAGTGGTGGATTACTGTCCCGAAGTTCATTTCTAGATTCTCTAAGAACCAGCCCCTCCCTCAGCGCCGGACTTGCCCTCCCGCTGCGCGTGCTCGGTGATGGGTTCCCTGGCTCCTGTGTGGGCCGCTCGTGGCGGTTGCACTGGGCTTGGGAGCCGCTCCTTGGCATTTTCATGGGGGCTTGTGCTGCACCACGGAGCCACAGCCCCTCCCGTGGCTCCATTTGGTCCACAGTGTGTGTGTGTCTGTTTTCCAGCACGAATTCCATTCTCTCGGATCTGGGCAAGCTGGTGTGTGGAGCGGTGTGGAGCTCTGGCCGGCCATGGCGTCGGGGAGGGCAGGCCTGGGCGGGGAGGGCAGGCCTGGGCGGGGAGGGAGGGAAGGCCTGGGCCTGGGCAGGGAGGGAGGGAAGGCCTGGGCCTCGGCAGGGAGGGAGGGCAGGCCTGGGCCTCGGCGGGGAGGACAGGCCCCGTCGGGGAGGGCAGGCCTCCGACATTTGACGGGCAGCTGTGGCCCGGCCAGCACCGCTCGGGCCCCCACGCTTCCCGGGGCAGAAGTCGGCGGACACTCGGCCTGAGGACCCCGGCGCCGGACTCCGCCCCGTGCAAGGTGCTCGCTAGGGCAGCCCCGCCGGAAGCCGTCCTGGCTGCCCTCCAGGTGGGAAGGGGCAGAGTCGGACCCCGGGCCTAAAAGGGCAGCGGCCTGGAGCCAGGGGGAGCTCAGCCAAGGAGAAAGGCAACTGGAGCCGGTGTGGCGGAAGCTGAGGGCGGGGCCCGGGCACGAGAGGCGGGGCAAAGTTGAGGGATTGAGGTGCGCCCCCTGGTGGGAAGCAGCTCCCACTGCACCCCTGATCCTGATGAGGACAGTGTGCGTGCCTAGAGCCCCCTCTGGTGGGAAGAAGCCTTCACTGCACCCAGGGTCCTGAGGAGAGTAACATGGCACTCACATGCCTAGAACGCCCTCTGGTGGGAAGAAGCCCTTATTGCACCCGGGGTCCTGAGGAGGACGGGGTACTCTCCTAGAGCACCTGTGATGTAAAA